ACTGAGGAGGGATATTCAGTCCTGTGGGCTGGTTACAGGCAAATGGGGGTAGCAGGGTTTTGCTGGTACCTGCATGCATGTGGAGGCAGAGGGAGAGACACAAAGGAGATGGATTGGGACTGAGCAGAAAGAAAGGGATGCTCCAGCTAGAGAGGTGAGACAAATATGGAGATGGCGTTTCAAATGGAGAAGCCACAAAGTTCTGTCCTAGTCAGGATGTAGAACCATAGAATTCTGGAAGGGACCTTCAAATGTCATCCAGTCCCATCCCCAGCCGAGGTGTGTGCTGGTCAGGTCTGTCTCCTCTTGCCCTTCATGATGAGCCATTAACAAAAACACTTCTTCAGCTTTCCCTTGATCCCTTCTGAGTGCAGCAAATATTCCTGCCAAACAATTATTTTAAGTTTCTTCAGAAGAACAAAATGATTCCTGCTGGATGCTGGAGCAGGGATTTGGCTGGGAATGGAAAAGCCAGTTTCCAGGAGAGGGGAGTTCAGCAGAAGACTCTCTTCCTGGAACTGACTCATTAATTACTTTTGCTTAATGGTCTTCTAGACAGCTCCTAATATCAAGAATGGCAAGAATCATAGAATCATAGAATGGGTTGGGCTGGAGGGGTGTTCAGTTGGTCCTTGCTCAGGGTTTGCTGAATCAACAGGAGAGGGGGAACCGTGGAGAAGGAAGGACAGCACTGGACGGGTCAGACATTCCCCCAGTAAGCAAATGTGAGGGCAGAGAGCTGAACTCTTCCTCTATTTCTAGCTGCAAGGTCATTGCTGCATCTTCAGGCAGCCCAGCCCTGTCTGGTATTTGCAGTATTCCCTGCTAATTCCAGTTTCATTTGCAGTCTAATCCAATGTGGATGTGCAAAACCACATAAACTGTGCAAAGGGACGTGCGGGCTGGCTGGGCTGGGCCTCACCTGTTAGCGCGGTGCTCAGCTGCGCTCCTGTGTCCCTGGGGGATTTTAGCAGCAGTTGGAGGAATGATTCAGGCAGTGTTTCTGGGAGATGGCCAGGAAGGACAGGAGTGGTGCTCTGTCCTGCGCTAGTACAAAAACGATTAGAGCATTAGAGCCATGCCAGAGGAGCAAATAAAGCAGCAGATGCATTTAACCCTCCCGTGCTGCTGGGGTGTGAAGCGCGGCAGCTGCTGTGATCCAGTGGCAGCAGGGCTGGGACAGGGGCTGCAGACATTGCCCACATGCCTCCCCTCAGCTCGGCTCTGAGTGCTGCTCCTCCTTGCAAAGAATTCACTGGAGCTATTTTTAACAGCACTGCCCAGGGAGATGGCTCAGGGTGCAGTTGGGAATTGCTCATCCTGGCAGCGCTGCCTTTTGGGACAGGGAACACTGGTGTGGGTTTGTAAAGGTCCCTCTTTGTGTTTATTTCCTCCAGCTGGATGTCTTATTGTTCATGGGTCATTTTCCACTGCTGCCTTGAAAAGGGTCTTTTGGATTCTGCTGCTGGCTGCTCTAAAGCCCCTGGGTCTGTGTTTCTGAGCTCCTCTATCTGCAGACTTTCTCCTCCGCTGGTTTTTGCAGGGCAGAGTTTACTGCAGAGTTACTGGGAGCTGACAATGCAACAGCAATAAATAAAAAAGTGTGGCCCTGATTAAAGTGTGCCTGAATAGCATCAAATTTATCAAGGCTGGTATTTCCTTTTTGCAAAAGCTCGTTTTGCTTTTTGAGAAGATCTTAACCTTGGAAGAAATTTTTCTTTTCGCACGTTTTACTTTTGGGGTTTGAAAATCACGTTCCTGACACCTTCAAACCTCCCTGGGCTTTTTCTTTCCTTAGCTCCTGCTCCTGGCAGACCCCAGGCTGTGGGATGGGACAGGCTGTTGTGCTGCATTCACTGGGCTCTCCCAGGGTGGCTGGTGTTTGTCTCCTACTTTGCTGCCAGGGCCAAGAGTTCCTCTGTATGAGCTCACAGGCTCTGCCAGCCACGCAGATAAATAATAAATTCAGGGATATTCGAGGCCAGTTAGATGTTATTGTTATGGCTGGACCCTTTCCTCTAGGCTGGGCTTTGTCACAGTGCTACTAAACCCTCAGCATGGCTTTTTGGAGGGCTGCGTGCGGCACCGCATCCCTTGGTGCCTGGGGATGCGTGGCTCAGCCAGGGAAGATGAACTTCAGACACCGTGCAATGTCTCTGAAAGCCAAACATTCATCACCTGGCTACTACCTGATAAATAATCTTAGCAATGGGGGGACCCAGCACAGGGCATCAGCATCCCTGCTGGGGCCAGGCTGGCTGGGAGAGCAGTGCTCTCCTGGGATGCCGACAGGGCCGACTGTGGTCTGCTGGAGATGCCTGATTTGAAAGTGCAGCTGTGTTGACAACAGTCCCCCCAAATCAAATACCTCTGGTTGACTTTGCAAGCAGGGGGACAGGAGCTGAGGTCAGCTGTGTCCCACAGCGTGAGAGCTGCTGTGGGGCAGTGCAGGATGCCAGAATTGTGCTGATCAGCTTCTTGTCACCGCTCCGTGTGTGCAGCCTGGAGCTGCCCCAGAGTGTCCCTGCCCTCACACCCCTCGTTGTAGAGCCCTGCTATCCTTGGGGCTGTGGTGTCTCACAGTGATGGCTCAGCTCCTCACCATCCACAGCATCCTCACTGCAGCCTCTGCAGCCCAGGCTGGATCTTCTTAGTCTTGCCATCTCTCCTGCAGGAATCGCAGTCAAATAGCCTCCAGCAGCTACTCTGGAGGAAAGCAAAACTCCTGCAGAAGAAAAGCATAACTGGGAGCTACCTCAACCTCCAGCATCCCCAGACACCAAGGGATGGAGTGCTGTTTGCAGCCCTTCACATGAGAGTTCTGTTCCCTTGTGTTGTTCCCAGGTGCTGGGAGAGAGCTGAGCATGCAGGAGCCATCTGCACCATTTGGTGACACATCCAGCTCTGTCCTTACTAGTGAGAGCAACCCCACATCTAGTGCACTTCCAGATTACTTCTTTGGGAGCTACTCTGAGGAAAGCACTTGCCAGGAGCTGCCTGCTGCTCCCCCAGCTGGGGCCAGCTGGCTGATTGTCTGGCTGGGAATTGGTCAGGATAGCATCTGCCTGGCTCAGAGAGCAACTGAAAGGGAGAATTTTATCTCTTGATGGTGAATCTCATCCTCCAGGAGCAAAGGCAGGACCTGGAGCATGTCCTGCCAGGATCAAGAGCTGGATCCTCCCTTGGACAGCCTCTTCCCTGGAGCTGGCGCCAGGCAGGCTGTGTGCCCCAGGCACAGCACACCCAGCCCACTCTGATCCCCCAGGCATGGAGAGCACAGACACATTCCCCTTGGCCCCTGCCAGATTATAGTGGAATTAATCACGCTGATTATATGCTACCAAAAAAGGAGGTGCTTTCTCTGTTCAGAACTGGCTCAGTACCCCTGCTTGCAAGCAGCGGTCTAAAAATCCTGTTTTCTGCCTCATCATGTCTCTGGGTTTTTCAGGAGCTGTAATAATTTTGGATAAAAAGACCAAGAATGACTGCAATCCCAGGCAGCTCAACCTGCAGAGATAACGTGTGAGTGTGGGCAGGGAGGTAAATCATGGCTCCAGCAGAATGGGATGTCATCCCAGGGAGGGACAGGCTGAGCCCCAGCAGCTCTGCACCCTCTTCTCTATCACAGGGCCCTGAGCAGTGCTTTTGGCCCCTTGTCAAGTCACACTGTTGCCTGTATCAGTTGGGATTGATGCCCTACTTTCAGTTCTTTCCCTGCAGCTACTCAGAATGGCATATGTGTATATCTTCTCCCTTGTGAGGGTCTCAGAACAGCATTTCTATCATCTTGCACCTGTTGAGTATTCAGACTTCAGCTTGTCTAGTCTGCCTACTTCATCTCAGTTTAATGGGAAGGAATCAATCCTCATTTCATGACTAACAGCCAAAAATTCCTCTGGAGTGTTTTCACTGCAGGAATGAGAACTGCATCTTTCCTCCTTTTTTGTCCTAAAACATTACCAGATACCAACCTACATCTGAAAAGGGTTCATCAGATACCCTAAGATCCTAATTAAAGGTTGTAATTTAGGGTGAATTGGAGTTTGAGGAATGCTAACTGCTTATCACACAAAAAAATGTGGATTTATACATGAAACAGGGAATATGGGGAGCCTTGGAAAATCTGACAGTGAGAGCACGGGGAAGGCAACTCTCGGGAAGACCTGAGTGCAACAAAGCAGCTGAATATACTGTTCTTCACCCGGCCTTATTTTTAAGGTGCAACATTGCTGTTTGAAGTCAGCTCCTTCCCAGACTGTGAGCAGCTGGGCTGTAAAGCCATCCCTGCTTTTAGCAAGAAGATCACAGGGCCCTGAGCATGAGGCATGTGAGGAATATAACAGCCGGCCAGTAGAATAGCTCCCACAGCCTGTAGCCCTGTGGAGCAAAGAGGAGATGTGCTGGGAAGGAATGGAAAGGACTCAGAGAGCCAAGCTGAGAGGGAGACAATAGCTCTAGTGAGATCAGCCTGTCAGCCTGCAGGGAGTAAAGGAGCCCCTGGACAAGTCATGTTATTTGCTGGAGAGCTACTAGAGAGAAATTTCCAGGAAAACCCATCTTGTGTGCTGAGCAGGGGCACACTGCCTCTGTCAAGGAGCAGCAGCTCAGGGCTGGTGACACACACGGGAGTTCAGCCACCAATGATGCTTGTGTAATGCCTTGGTCATTCCTCTGAGCAGCACGGCAATGAGCCCATTCTGCAGTGCCTGCTGCTTCACTGCATCGTGTGAACATGCTCACATTTACAAAGACACCTGCCCTATTCCCTGTGTGCAGCCTTTCCACCTTACCTTTGAGTATCTGGGCCCCTTCCATGTTGCAAATCTGCTCTTCTCAAAACCCTACACCCCGAGTCTAGGGTTTTGGGTCATGTGGGCAAATTCTGAGTGCCGTTATGTCAGATGGGCTGATTCAGTTTTGGTGGCAGCCAGGGTTTGCTGTGTGAGTGGGATGACCTTGGCTCAGAGGGTGCTCACTGTTCTCCCCTCTTCTCTCTGCAGGACGGCTCATGCCAAAGCCAAGGCTGAAGGGTCTGAGCAGGCAGCTCAGGCAGCCAACAACGAATCAGGCATAGCCAGAATGATGGCCAGGGAGCTCTCCCCAGACTTCTACCAGCCAGGTAGGATCAGAGGCATCTTCCAAGAGGGGTCTTGCAATTTCCACGGAGAATCCCTTCAAGTGCTTCACCCACTTAATAACTCCACAAAATGCTCTCCTGTCTATCCTAAATCCTCTTTTGCTCAGTTGCATCCAGCCCCTTTTCCTGGCTGATTTGCTGTCCTCCTGACACCACTGTTTTACTCACTGTGTTACCACAGCCTGGAGGAAAACCCCAGAGTTTCTCAGCTTCCCACATTTTTCCACACACCAAAGCCCTCAGAACCAGGCAGGACAGGCAGCAAGCTCAGGTCTATCTGCAGCTCTCCTGTAGATACATCCCTTGTGGATTTTTCTTAGAACAGTCTTGCACATTGACTCACAAACCCATATCCTGTGGGGCCTCTGAGCAATCAGACTCTGCTTATTAGGGGCTGTAATATCCTATAAGACAGCAGCTAATACAAAATACAATTTTTCTGATTCTCTATTAATTTGTTAGTATCACTGCTAATTATTTGTCTGGGTAAACACTTGGGAGGTTCCTTCCATGAGACCAAGCACTGAGGATTAGTGGATGAGAAGTGTAATGTTAAAATCAGCATTTTGAATGCCATTAATTTTCCTTAGACTGAGTTAGGTGGAGATATGTTCTTCCTGGAAAACTTTCCTTTACAGAGAGGGAAGGTAATAACAGAGCAGAAAATAAAATTCCAAGTGCCTACATTTTCATCCTGTCTTTCTTATTATCTGGATTTATTGCCTGGAGTGAGTGTCCCATGGTTACTGAGGCAAGATCACAAGGGACTATAACAGTGGTAAAACTGGGGATAGAAGCCAAAAGTTGACTTATTCTCAGCAAAACCCGACACCTGCCCCTGCTCTGATTTCGGTGTCTCTGCACCTCCTGTACCGCTCCCAGCACAGGGCACACAGTGGGAAATGGGAACAGCTCAGAGCTGGTGCCTGGTTGGGGGAGTCATGCTGACAGATTTTCCTAAATTCCCTGTACTCTTGTCTCGTCTTGTGCCTATGAGCTGGGGAAACACTGCACTGGAGGGCTGCCTCTTCCTCCCCAGTGCCCAGAAAGGCCTGTTGGAGCTGACTCTGAGTGGGGAAACACCAGAGCACCCAGGCATGGGCATGAGCCAGCCCATGGCACTTCATTTAACAATGGCTAAATGTCGCTTGATCCTCATATAAGCCCCCCAGCTGCCACTCACAGCTCTGCATTCAGCCTTTGCACACTGGGTATTTATAGAAACAAAGGAAACTGGAATCCCTATGGGGAGGTTTTGGACATCTAGCTAGATTATTTTTTCCACCCATGGCAATTGAATGAGACAATTGAAGCAGTCTCTGTAAAACACTTGGGGCAGCCTGACCTCCACTCCTGGCTCCTCAGGTGCTGGATCCTCTTGCTGCTGTTGTGTAGGGCCTCACTTGGGTCCTGGCTTCTCTCAGTGGCCTTCTAAGCTCCTGATGCATGTTATTCTTCTATGATTCTTTTAAACATCTAAATTCCCAAAGTGCACAAGAATATATCTCTTCTCTCATGGTTGCACCATCCAGAAACAAACAGACAGTAGTCCAGCCTTGGATTTTGCTAGGACTGAGAGCTGCTGCTCACACAGCCAGGAGAGCCCAGCTGTGTTTGGTAGCTGTATTTCTCCCTGCTATCCTGGCAGATTGACCATGTTGTGTCTGGCACAGGCAATCCTGCTCAGCAAGCCCCATATTCTTAATAACTGTTGAGCCCTGAATTTCAGGGTATAGTCCCTGGTAACTTAGAGAAGGATGTAAGCCAAAACCATTCTGAAATGTGCTGGAAGATGAAGGTGGGGAGCTGAGTGTGTGCCCTCCAGGCAGTTGGGGATTTTTGTGTTGTAAATTATTCAGGAAGAGAAGAAAGCAGCAGGAGAGAGCAAGGAGCCTGGAGCTGCAGGCAGCCTATTTTGAGGAGTCTGAACAACTGTTGAAATGGCTTCCAAATAACTCAGTTGCAGCCAGAAATAAATGGCCCTGAATGGGTCATCTGCTGATTGGCAGGAGTGTGCAGGCAGAGCAGAGCAGATGAAATCAGTGCCTTCCCTTTCCCCACTGCCCCTCCAAGTGGAGGCATTGCCTGAATGGACAGGGGGTAGCAGTGTGCAAATCATACCACTGACTTATGAGAGCAAAAGGAGCACCAAGCCAAATTTCCCAACCAGACTCAGATCTGCATCAGTCCTTGAGATGAAGGAGATGAGGGGAGAGACCTTAAAGCAGCCAGAGACAGTGTGGCTCCAGGATCTACAGTGTTGCTCAGGAGCGCAGAGCAAGCCCTTGTCAGCATCACTGGGGTTCAGCAGAATGAGGCCAGAGCAGGTGCTTTGCTTTCAAAGAAGCTGCTCTGCGACCTCACACTGCACAGGAGGAGTGTGATGCTCTTCTTGTTCTCACTTGCTGTAAGCATCACAGTGATGTGTGGGGACCCTTCTCCCAGCACATCTCAGCATGTGGAGCACTGTGGAGGGTTGTCATTCCACAGGATATTCCCAGTTCTTTAGTGATGCATTTTGGTGGGTATCTTCAGTGTCAGGCTCTGTCTGAATTCCCCTGGCCCAGGCTGGGCTGCAATTTGCAGTAGGGTTAATAAGAAGTAAAGATTTAATGATAGGTGCAAAATTGAAGTGAGGCAATGTTGCTAGGAACTCACAAGTCAGTGTGTGAGATGAGGCCAAAGCAAAATCTGAAGCCCTGAGTCACCTTTCATGATGGTGCCAGGTAATTTTGCTGCTGTTGTGGAGCTCAGGGCAGACAAGAGGGCTGTATAACTTCCAACTCTGTTCCACATATGAGAAATATGTTTTTCCTATCATGATGGATGGCACATAGATAATCTGGGAACCCTGCTTTTGCCGATGACACTGGTCATCCTGTATATCCTGTGAAGTTACCGTGCTATTTGACACCAAGAAAGTCACATGGAAGAGTTTCCCAGCCATTAAATAGAAAAATAAACCAAATTCATTGGGAGCTGTATCCTCCTTAGCCCCAGCATGACCCATCTGTGTGACCACATGAAACTAGGCTGCAGATTTTGATTGTTTTCTTTAACCTTATCTATTGGAGCCTTTAGGAGTTCCTAGAGGAAATTCCTTCTGGCAGCAGAGTCTGATTTGGGAGTTCCTCCTCTCCCAGACTCCAGCCTGGACCCTTGCAGCATGGTCCCCAAACCCATTGCTGCTGGGGGCACAGCTGCCGAAGCCACGACGGTGCCATGGCACTGGGGTACCCTGCTGTCCCCGTCCCACGGTGACTCCTCACAGCAGCCCTTCTCTCCGCAGGTCCCGAGTACCAGAAGCGGAAGCTGCTGCAGGAGATCATCGAGAACGCGGAGCACGCGGTCAACATGGAGGAGGAGGCGCCGCGGCCCGAGGCCGCCCCGCCGCCCCCCACGCCGCCCGAGAGCCCCCAGCTCCACGAGCAGGAGGAGCCGCGGCCCCGGGCCAGCCCAGCGCCCAGCCCGGCCGCCACCCCTCCCGAGGCCAAGCGGGCCAAGGCGGCCCCCCGGCAGGACAGGCCCCTCCGTCCGGGCAGCTGGGCCGAGGCGGGCGGGCAGGCGGGCGGCGGGAGCCCGGCACCCTCCGAGGGCGAGGGTCGGCCGGGCTCGCGGGGCCGCGGCCGTGCCGCCGAGCAGATGGAGATCGGGCCGCTGCAGCGCATGGCGCGCGAGCCCGACGTCGAGCTCTTCAAGGGCTACCACAGCTACGCCGTGCGGACGTCGCCGGTCACCCCCGCCACGGACTATGAGGAGGAGCAGTTCCCCGAGAATGAGCCGCCCTCTCCGGAGCCCCGGGGCGAGCCCCAGCACCGGGCGGGCACCCCTGGCCTGCCGCGGGAGGAGAAGCCGTCGGTTGCGGCGGAGGCCAAGGCGGAGGCCAAGGCGGAGCCGCCGCGCCCCAAGGAGCCGCAGCAGCGCCCCAGCCCTGAGCGCAGGGCTGGCGGCCGGGCCGAGCCCGCGGCCAACAGGAAGACTGAGGCCAGGGCTCCAGGCCGGACGGAGCCCAAGGCAGGGGCCAAGCGCGGCCCAGCGCAGGCGGCGGCACTGGTGGCAGCACAGAAAATGGAGGAGTGTGAAGAGGTGATGTGGGGCATCCCTGGGAGCCACCTTTGTCTTTCCTTCATTGCTCCCCTGGAGGGATGCAGACCCCCCGGGGCGCCAAGTGGTGCCCAGAGGCTCTTTTTGGGATCCTAGAGCCCGCTGGAGGAGTGTTGGTATCCCCCACTCTTCCGCCTTCCCAGCCTGCCCTGCCTGGATGCTTGCCCTGACATTCATAACCCTCCCATTTTCACCTCCTCTCTTTACCTGGGCAGATAGTCTTTCAGACATGTGGTATTTCAAAATTTGTGCAAAACCAGGCATCTTCCAATTAATTTTATCCACTTTTCTCACCTTCTTTTCCCACTTCATTACCAACCAACTTGGATGTGAAAGCTGGGGAGAAAAAAAACAGAAAAAACTCTTTTACCCATTACTTTTTTTGCTGTAGGGGCACCTCATGAGCTGAACTGTGGTGTTGAATCACCAGCCAATTTCCCAGGTTTAAAATATAGTCACTGAAACTCAATTTTGCTCTTAGCAAATACAGCTGGAAACCCAGACATTTTATTAGCCCTCCAAGTCTCATTTTGCAGTCCTTTGGACGTGAATGATTCCAATGTGACTTTAGAAAATCACAGCTTGGAAATACTTTGGTCTGAAATTACAGCAATCTCACATGGGTTCATTTGTTGGGGTTTGGAAATAGATGATCTTCAAGGTCCCCTTCCAAACCAAAGCATTCTATGATTCTATGATATTAAAAATGGCAAGTTTACAAACACAGGCAATGTGTGTGTGGAAGGGAGTTGGGAGGAGCAGCCGGACATGGGATCAGGAGTTCATGTTCCTGTGGTCAGGGTCTCCTTTAATCTAATTTAGCTGCAAAAGAAGCCTGATTTAACCTCCTTCTAATGAATTTGCAGGGAAGAAGTAGGAATAGGACAGGATAAACATTCCACTAGTTTGAAATTCAGGCTGGTTGTTACGTGCCAGATTTCAGTGCATTGGGAGGGGGTGATTGTGGTATTTTTGAACAGCAGAATCAAGCTATGTCTGTCTGGAGCTGTGGTGTGTAATACTCTGTTTTTCCTGCAGGGACCTAACACAATTGTGATCTGCATGGTCATCTTACTGAACATTGGTCTGGCCATCCTATTTGTACATTTTTTGACATGATGAGCCTCTTGAACAAGGTAAGAAGCAGAATGAAATTTTATCCTCAATTTGTAGATGTCACTGGATGTTTTAAGGTTGACTCACTTTTCAAAAATGTCATATAATCATTGCATGAAATTATGTCATAATCTCATACATTTTCCCAAAATTAGGAACATAGACTGTGTTGGTGGGATACAGTCTCACCATATAATTTTGCCTTCCCAGTACCACGGGCATGTTTCATGGAGTGAGAATTCCATTGCAAGACTGTGTGATGTTAAATTTGAAATTTGTTTACTGCAAATGCTGCAAATGCTTCAAACACTTTTGATTTGCTGTTTCAATGTGGCTGCTCCCAGGTAACTTGTGCATTATAGTGTTTCTTGGCACTCACACCAGCAAGATGCAAGAACACATAAAAATGTGAAACTGTGAAAACTGCAGCTCTAATTGCACCAGTACTAGTTCTGCAGTGGTAGTTACTTAATTGTTTTACTACAGATAAATATGAATCAAGATGTTTGTAAGACTGGAGCTTGCTCATGTCTTCCACTTGAATTGGGATAAGGGTTTACATTTGGATTTGGTAGCAATAAAATCTTGTGAGGTTTCTCATGCCTGGGGTACTCCTACAGACAGGAAAGTGTCCTGAGCTTGCACAAGACTTCTGTCTTGGGCTCAGATATTTCAAACAAAATCTGCCATCAAGGCTGAACCTGACCCTTGAGCCTCATGTGAACGTAACACAAGAGACATCTCTAAGTCCCTGTGAGGATATTGGGGTGCTTTCCCAGACCTCCTGGGGGACAAAACTGCTCTGCTGGGCACTGCTTTCTGTCATGTTTTCAGTCTCACTCAGCCTGCACAGGTGAAAGCCTTGCAGGCAGCTGTGGTCATGTGTTGGTCATGTATTTTGCTCTCTCTTGACTTTCCTATTTATCTGTGTCTGGGACAGGTGTCGCTGCTGGTGGAGACCTCAGACCTTGGCGGGGATTAAAGCTCAGCCACCTGGAAACACCTCAGAGGAGGCCTTGAGATCCCAAGGTTGCACTGCAAACATCAACCTTAAATGAGAGTGTCTGAAGATCAGTTGCATTTCCTGCTCTCAGGCTGTGGCTGGCCTCTGCAATCTACCAAAGAAAAGCCAGGGTTTCTGCACTGTGGTCTCCTCTTCTTTGTATAAAATAGCAGTTGCCTTAAATTATTCTCACCAAAGCCATCAACTGTCCTGCCATGCCAGGGATGAGGGATTTATCTATAGCTGTAGGAAAATGAGTGAGAAGGTCTCATGCGTGCACACTGATGTGTTTTGTAACTCCCTTGGTTGACTTAGTGTCAGAGATTTTCCAAAGATTGTCATCCATGGCATGGAGATGAAGCAATACAGCAACCGGAATGACTCATGGGAGCCGCGCCGTGGCTCGGGGTGGACGGCGCTGCTCTCCCTGCTTGGAAGTCATCCAAAGGGATGAACAAAAAGTCTTTCCTTTCCCTTGTCACCTGGCATCATTTTCCATGGATGGAGGACTGAGAGGGGGAGCAAGTTGAAATTGGGCTTGTTGAAGTGTGACCCAAGTTCTGCCCATGGTGGCCGATGCACCATGGACGGAGCAGCGGGGCAGGGTGTGAGGGACTGGTGGATCCAAGGCTGCTGGTGCCTGTGGGGGTGCTCTGGGTGGAGATGGGACCTCTTTTGGGACCAGGCACCATCCAAGTGCTCTCCTGCCACCAACAATGCTCTGCACAGAAGCAGCTTGCAGTGGGTGGCTTCCCACTGTAATGGGAAAGGCAGTAGGTGTGCTGAATTTGTCCCTTTACCCTTTTTTTCTACGAAAATGTTGTGAGTTACAGTGAAAAGGAGGATCTTGCTGAAATGCCTCCGTACACCTGCAGGTTCCTCCCCTTGGTGTGCCGGGCTGCAGGGAGGTCCTGGCCTCTCATTGCACCTGACAAACCAGCCAGAGGATGCAGGGTGGCTATTGTGGGAGAGGTTACCTTATTCCTGAAAGAAAAAAGGTGCAGAGATGTGAGTGACTGAAGTGTATTTGGGTGTTGGGCTCAGAAATATGCAGCAGCCAGGCTTTCAGCAGTGGCAGAGTACAGTGGGGCAGTGTAGCTGTTGCTCGTGTGTGTGAGGCTGAGAGGCCTGGGCAATTTGCACCCATTTTCCCAAAGCTGTGACAGGGAGTGACCTTTGGAAGGAGATTTTTCCACCATGATCTGCTCTGATCCTTAGCAGTGTAAGCTTAGAAAGTCGGCACAGATGAAGTTACAGTTTAGTGTGAGGCTGAGTGCTTGGACATGTTTCTTCCTTCTTTTAAGAGCAAAGTGTATTTTCTATCCCTTTTTAAGATAATCAGAGATGTTATTTATAGTTGGTTGTGCACCTCTGTGTATCCTGAAGTCCCACAGCACAGGACTGGGTGGGAAAACCTTGTTGGACTGGAAAGAATGGGGAAATTATAGTTAAGGAAAAAAACATATGCCTGGTCTGCTTCAAAGGTCAATCTGAAAGGATTTCGAGATGGAGTGGTAGACACACAGGGGTTTACACTCATTGGAGACACAGGGCAAAACCTACCTAATTTATCTACTCTAGTTATGGCATAAGAGAGTGAGAATAATTCAGTACTTTGTGAACCAAGTCTATTTTTTAACCTTATTGAGCTCAGGAACATTGCCACAGTAGCAAATATGTGATATTAAGTGTGGGAGAAGTGAATGTGATCCTTTCCTAAAAGCCATGTGGCTGTACCAGTCCTGAGAAAGCTGTGCAGCATCATCTACACTTCCACAGAGCATAGTTTAGTAGCAATTGGCTTATTTTCTTTTTTTTTTTTCTTTCCTTAAATATAAATGTATTGCAAACCCCAGGCTCTGCTGCCTTTAACGTTTTGTCTCCATTTGCTGGCATTCACTTGCCAACTCTGCAGTTTCAATATGCCAACTGCTTTTATTCACCACCAAGACTATTTCCATTGAGAGACCTGAGGGGCTTTTATTTATCACTAAGCACAAAAATGGATATTTTTCAACAGTGCTAAGGTAATTCCTTTCCACCCCCCCCCCTTTTTTTATGCATGCAATATGCACTCACTAATGTGCTTTCCTCCTAGTAACCTTCTGAGAAAAGTAGGTAGATTTGCTTTTATGTGACGTATAACTATCCATATTGCACTGAGATATGGATATACTTACATAGAGAGAAAGCCCCTTAGGGATTTCATTTTCTTAGATGCAAAATACCAGATTTACCTCAAACTGCATGCTTTCAAAACTGACTAGGATTTTGTGTTATACTTTTCAGGTCTTACAAAGATGCAGATACCTTTCACTCTTCACACAAAAGTACCTTCATCACAGATTTTGCTAGCTGTTTACTACAATCTGTGTACTACTGTCCAGAATTTTCTGTCGGTTGTTCTGCTGGATTATGTGCAATAATAAACAGTTATCTGCTCACTCTATCCATGTGGATTTTTGCAGGGGAATCTCCAAGTTTCATTCCATGATGACACATTCACTCCAGTTTTAAAGCAGAGAGTAATGCAGAATTTCACTGGTGGCATCTGGATGTTTTTTAGCTTTTTCTTAATTATCTGTTTCAAAAAATTGCATTTTTTAAATTGATGGGGGTACTTTGCAACGAGAGTTTGTTTCACTAAATGCTTTTAGGCAGTCTTTAAGGACTCTGCAACTCTCTGAGAACACTCCATGTGCTCCCATCGTGCTGGCCTCTGGCAGGGGCTGCACAGGGCGAGGAGGAAAGGGCTCGCTGGCCCAGAGCCTGCCCAGCCCATGCAGATGGCTGCTGCCAGGTCCCTCTGCTGCCTCCCGACCCCAGGGCTGCTGCCAGGCTCATTCTGAGCTGTGTGCCACTGGCTGCTGCCCATGGCTTTGGGGAGGAGTGATTCTCCACTGCCTGAGCCCCATCCTCTCGCTCAGCCTCTGGAGACAGCCCGGGTGAGAGGAAAGCCAGGCACGAGGTAGAGGGAAATGGCAGCAGGGTGATTTATGGGGGAGGATGGATGAGCAGAGCCCAGCACCAGCTCAGGGCAGCAGGGCCCCTGGGCCTGAGGAATCCAGAGTAGCTGGAACCTTCAATCCTTTTTCTATTTCTGGAGCGTCTCACATGAGCAAAGCCGGACTGTGCAGAGAGGCTGGGGGGACACAGGCTCAGCCTGCATGGGCTGGAGTGCTGCCCCTGGCTTCTGTGGGTGTGAGGGGTCTGAAGGCAGATTTCATGCCCTGGTAGAGACAGAAGGAGCTGAGTTTAATGAAATGATGGCTTTTCTCTCCTCTGAGCTTGCTTTGCTTCTGGTATGGGAGGAACTACATCTCATTCATCAGTCAGGGCAGCAGGGTAACTGGAGCCTTGTGCACCTCATAAATCTCAGGCTGATGAATGGAGCAGGTCTTTGGCTCATGTGTTACAGAGGCAGCAGGGAGGGAGGTGGGTCTGCTGCTAAAGCAATGACACATTGCTTTTAAAGTATTAATAAAAGCAGAACAAAACGTCTGCAGCTTCCCCAGGGTAGGGGGGACAGTGCTGGGCTCTCTGCCTCAATAGCTGCTGGTTTCAGGGATAACGTCCCCACAGTGTCCAGCCAAGTGTCCCCAAGGGCAGGCAGGGAGGTGTCTGATATGTGAGAACCAGTCTAAAGGCACTGCCCTGATCCTGTGTCCAAGGGCAGGAGCCTTACCCTCCACTGGTGGGAGGGAAGGTGCAATCTGAGCCTCAGTGTCCTCTGACAGTGACCTGCCCAGGCATCCTGGGGACAGCCACGCTGTACTCCACTGTTCTTGTGGGGCATGGAGGCTCCCAGGAGACACCCTCTCTTTGCTCTTCATCTTTGCACAAGAGGAAGGGTCAGACATGGGTGGAGGTGACCCTGACACTGAGAAGGTGCTGAAATGTGCAGAAGAATTCCTGTGGTCCTCTCTGGCCCAGGAGCCAGGAATGGGTCTGGCTCCACACCACTGCCTTTGCTTCAGGACCCTTCCTGGAGGTAGCTAGCTTGAGCCTCAGGAGCATTAATACATCAGGGAACCAGCACCAGGCACCACCAGCAAGGGCATCCCTTGCCCAGCTTGGGGCTGGCACCAAGGGGCCTTACTGTGGAATCCTCTCCTCTGCTCTTCTGTCAGAACTGCTGGCACTGCACAGCTGGAAAAAGCTGCTTTAAATTTACTTCCTCTGAGCAGCCACCCACACTGTGCCTGTAAAGACAGGATCAGCCAACTTGGGAGCCCAGTAGGCCCTTGCCAAGGACCTCAAAACCATGTTAGTACCAGGACCACCCCAGGGCCTTCTCCTTGAGAGGGTAAAGTTTTTATAGGCTTCGCAGCTTGTGTTTTCAGGCATTAATTCCCTATTGGAAGAGCAGCGAGCAGCCACTGGTGCACTCACAGCATCCCCTGTCCCTATAGAAACAGCACACTCAGAGCTCAATTAATAGGGTGGCTATTAAAGGAAATTCATCAATTACAAAGCACAAATTGTCCTTATTACTTCTGCCCATCACCCATGGCACAGGGACCTGTGGTGTGGCCGTGATGTTCCTTCCCTCGGGCAGTATCTGGGAAAGAACCCCGGATTTGGGGCACAGGCAATGCCCTCCCATTGAAATCTTCCTTGAGACCCTGGCAGGACAGAAATGTGCAGGGCTGGCTAACTGCTAAACTGGGGGAATTTTAGTAAATTAAAGTCAGTCACACAGGACTGGCAAGCTTTTATCCACTGTGTGTCCCAGGGCAGTTCTGGAACTCCTGCCTTGGTTTGAGGAGTCCTAGAGCCACCCCTGAGTGAGTGCAAGCCTGGAGGCAGCGCTGGCCTAAGAGCTCTCCAGAAGCCTTGGGAAAAAGGAATTGCAATATAAACAAGTAACTGTGAGTGATTACATTAATATTGCTGTAGGACTATCCCCAGGTCTTATTAGCATCTCTTTAATTGGAATCTGCTTGGACTAAGTAGTTCAAAGAAGCAGCTGGGGCCAGAACAGATTGAAAAAGGACTGCATCTGAATCTTTCCCTAATGTGTGGTCCCCTCTTTTTTGTGGCTCTTACAAATTTAAGCAATTGCCCATTCAGATCATCTCTTTGATGATCTGAATATTATTAATTTAAAGGTACCTCTATTTTATCTTAGAAACATGGTTGGGTACCACAGAGAAGCCTGTTCTGGTTGCAGGGAGATGCTGGATGCCCTCATGATCTTTACATCACTTTTTTTAGGGGATTGCTGGTATTTTGTTGGTTACTCTGTAATTTGGCCCTAGAGCAGGCTGGCTTTCAGAATGCTGGCCAGCATCATAGGTGAGAGGCTCTCTCAAAAAAACCACCTGCACGGCCATTCTCCTGTGACACAGGCTCTCATAGATGCCCTATTTGCCCAATTTCCCACCACCCAAATCTAGAGACAAAGAAAACAACCTGATAGGAGCTTGAACTACAGATTTTGGTAAATTACTTAAACCTGTGTGTTTTGCCAGGGTAAATAATCCTTGTTGAGGTCACATCCATGCCCTGCATACAGGCAATCACTGCGTGGCCTCTATCACTGGGAGCAGCCAAAATTGGGTAAATGTGCTGGATGTGGTGTCTCCTAAACTGAAACTCCCTGATGAATGTCAGGAGCTTCAGCCAACCTATGGTTCTTCAGACACAGAAACCTCACTCACCGCTCTGCCATCAGCTCTTCCCCAAGGCTTTGCCTCCTCCAAGCTCCTCTCTGCACTGCTCATGAATTTTTCCCCTCACCCCAGGGCTCTGCAGCGCTGCCAGATCCCTCCTCTCCTGCCAGGGGACTTGCTTGTTTGTAATTGAAGAAACCAGATGGTGTTTTACCAGGTTAACAACCCCTGAAAGGGCAAGGGTTAGAAATAATGAGCTTTAATAGCAGAGTAGCAGGTTAGATCATGTTGAATTGCACTTCTATGCAATAAATTACTTAGGAGCAATAGATTCTTTATTTCCTGGCATGTTTATAAACTCACAGCCCACACTCACGCTGTTGAGACAAATAAATGCTGAGGGTAAAATACAGCTTGAGACTTTACAAGCAGGGTGGGATGTTGCAAGGTACAAGGTAATGCAGGCTGAAGCTTCAAGGGAGCTCTCTGATTTCTTATAAGGAATTAAAGTTTTTATTCAGACCCTGAATATCCAAAGGAAGTTACAGTGATGAGTTATTTAATTCCTTTCTGCTAGTGATTTATTTTCCAGCAGCTTGCATCTCTCAAGTGGCATCTCCTTAGCAAGCTGAGTGGTGACCTTCTGCCTCCACTTCCATCTAAAAGTCTCTCAGCTCCTCCTAAAGTGTCAGAATACATGCAGGGGGAAGGACCAGGAACTCATTCCTCATCTACAGAGCTTAATGCTCTGGTGCATTTGTTGGAGATCTTGTGGTTCCAGGAGAATTTATCTACCAATTACTTCTCAAAAAATAGCAACGTGTCATGCAGTACTTGGCAGCTAAAAGCAGAAAGGGGAGAAGAGAACCAGGTTTTAATTGAATCTCAAGTATGTTGAAACAAATATTTCAGAACTATCAATTAGCTGTTGGCCTGAGGCTGAAATTGAATTAAGAAAATAATGCTTTTAGGGTGTCTCCATGTAGGGGTGCAGAAAGGGGGAGAGTGAAGATAGGAAATGTGATGAGGAGGTGGAAAACATCCAGCTGGGGATGCTTCAGAATGACGGTGCTCCTTGTGTTTGCAGACAGCAAGGCTGTCTGTCAAACTGCACATCCCATGCCTGAGAAATGCCTCGGGTCAGGATGCAGGTGGGTTTCCAGCTCTGGTAGCAAATCCTCTTCCCACACCCAGCTCTGCACTCACAGCTTCAGGGTGGAGGCTGGAGGACACAGGACAGCCCAGCCCTGAGAGGATGCTGCCTGTGCTCAAGGTCCCAGGGAGGCACCAGCAGTCACACAGGGATCCCCTTCCCCCTCCTCCACCTCACCCTGGTCCTTACTGCCCTGGTTTGTCTGCACATGCTTTTATCAATGGCTTCTTCTGAGCTGCTAAGGAAAAATCTGTTCTAAGGAGGGAAAAGAAGTCTGTACTATAAAAAAGACTGTTAAAAGCAAATCCTCACGTTAGTAAAAACTCCTCCATGTTCTTCAAGAAGTAAATCCCAAATCTCTGTGTGGAACTTTCTCAACAACAATAAATAAGAATGCTGTTCTTAAATTCACATTATACAATATACACAAAACAGTGCAAAATAGCATGAATCCTTAAATTACAAATGCATTATGTTTAAAATAATTGCAAAAAACCAATGTTTTCTTCCCTCATCCTGTATCTATTTTAGGGGTAACATAGATGGTTTAATAACATGCAATATAATAATCATACATGCAAAACCTCTCTACACACAACAAAATAGGTCTTGGACAGTTCCAACACACTGAAGGGACTTGAGGTCTTTTCCTGACTCACCCAGTGAAATGATTTCCTGTAGATTCAGATTGGTTAATTAACGTCTTGTGGCCTTGAAAATACCATACACATATTTTCCTAAGTGGATGCAAAATTCTATCCAGTGTTGACTAGTGAGGCTGTTCAAGTAATAGTTCACAGTCACTTGAGGTTTACTGGTGGCAGACACTTGTTTTATTTGGCAAGAGCCCAAGGGTTTGGCTCATGTGTAATCTTTTTGATTTTACTCATAGTCCAGATAGTCTTTTGCAAGTCTGGAGCAAGTGCCCTTGGACGGGTCTCCTGGATGCTGCAGGGTATGAATATCTACTTTGCTTTCAAGATGACAGCAGCAATAAGCATTTGTGTCACTAGTCACAAAATACTTCATGGACTTCACAAATTATTCCCAGGAAATAAGATAATTTCTTCACCTGCCATTGAAATGCACCTGTAGCTGGGGCAGAGAGCAACACTGCTCTGTGGTAATAACTATGCCAGACTGGGGCTTACAGAACAAGAGTGCAGTTTCCAGCTGAAGCAACCAGAGGAATTTCGACAGGAAAGGTAAAGTTATCCAAAAGAAATTAGGGAACACTCATTATTAGTTTGTTCATGATTTGTTTGTTCATTGTAGCAAATCCATCTGGTCTGGACCTTGGGTTTCTGTGCCACCAGCGCTGCGCTGTTTCCAGAGGCACAACAGAGGCTCATGACACCCAGCTTTGTTTGTTCCTAATGCAGGAGTCTCTCCCTGAGAGTCCATTTACAGCCAATGGCTTCATCTCTTGGAGGCATTGATCTTCTCTGTAGGGATGTGTATTCCTCACGGAGAGTGTTGAGATGAGAGACACACCCAAGTGCCTAATTGCTCCCATTAACTTCAAAAGGACTCCCGAGGAGTAGTTTCCATGGGGTATCTGTGTTACAGGTGTGTCAGTCTGGGTAGGAGACACTCACTCTAAAAAAAGAGTGAGTATTTTTAACTTGAATGCACTTCTGTTCCTGGGATTCCTTTCAAAGCTTTGGCCCAGCTCAGCACTTGCACATAACACAAAATGGGGTGGCTATATGTAACTACAGATGCTTTAGAGATGCTAAATATTGACACTTGCCTAACACTTCGCCAAACAAGAATAAATTAGTGCTAAGGAAAAGCAAATTAAATTGCCTATAACAATATGTTTTGCTAAGTGCCCTGAAGAAGTATTGAATGAAGCTCACTGCAATGCCAAAGCAATTCCTCTTGGCACTCTCCCAGCACAGTGTGTGCAGCCACACAACTCCCACTGCCTGCATTGCTTCATGCTCATGGGATTTGTTTATTCTTCTTTGCAGGTGCAGGGAGCCTGCTCAGATCCTCCTGCTCGGTGAGGTTGTGGTCAGAGCTGTCGTGGGAACAATCCTTCACTGCACTGTAGTACACCGGGGTGCTGGACCGGGCAGGGTGCTCAGCACTCTTCTCCTGGCACTTGTACAACTTCCTAAAGGCAGCCCTGAACTTCTGTGACATGAGGTTGTAGATGATGGGGTTGATGGCGCTGTTCAGGTAGATGCAGAGGCGGCAGAAGAGGAGGAACCAGGTGTTCAGGTACGGAGGGTCCACGAAGGAGTTCACCACCACCAGCGTGCGGTAAGGCAGCCACAGCACGGCGAAGAGGGCCACCACGACAGCCAGCATCTTGGTCACCTGGGTGGGGGGAGATGCAAAATAAAAACAGCCAGATGGTGCTAAACCTCCAGCAGAGCTTTTCCACCTGGAGCACTGGTGTAGATGGTTTCTCTCTCTAAGCATTTAAGAGAAACACACAAGCCGTGGGGTTATTTCTCACTGAAACCATTTTAATCAGGAAATAACCTTGCATAAATAAAACCAGAAACTATAAGTTTTCATCTATCATTGAAGAGCCTCTAAATCTCTTTAGAAACAGTATTCACTCTCCTGGAAATAGGCTGGGATAACCATGACAATGTCTATACCAGAAAGCAAATTTGAAAATTGTACATAACAGTAAATCAATGGGGAAAATACTTGTCTAAAGGTGGGGACCTCAGTTTTAGGGGTGTTATGGGATACATTTAATCTCCTTCCCTAGGGTTTCCTGGTTTCCTATACCGCCTATATCATTCCAGGGAATAGGCTCCTAGTACAGAGCAACCCTGGAAGCAGAGGAGACTGTAAGGAATCTTATATTACCTGTGCTGATATAGGGCTTACTTAGCTACTTACCATGGGTTACTTTAATTTTCAGCACACTAGGGGAGTACTACAAAAACATATCGAGAACAAAAAGAAACCGAGAACTCAGAAGTGAGCAGTAATTGCCCTCAGCTCAACATAAGCTTTTTTAGGAAACTGGAGTTTTGCGCTGGAGCACCAGTCATCCTAATAATTTCAACAGCTATTTATGATGACAATCCTCCTCAAACAAATACTAACAAAACAGACATGTCCCCAAAGAGGAAAATATGATTAAAGTATGACATGATGCCACATGCATGTCTAGGACGTGGTGTTTCAAACGTCAGAAGGGGAATTGTGCAATAATCCAGTTCTTAGTATGGACATAAGCAATGGGATCACATTTAGAGTCTCTCAGCTTTTCTTAGAGTGCTTTTTTACTTCATCAAAAGAAACGATGTCTTCCTATAATGCCATGAGTAGAAACTGGGAGTCATTTCTTGTGGCAACAAAACTTTCTCTAGAAGAAAGGGACTATTTCCAAGCTGTGGCCAAAATAGAAGGGTTTGCTATGTGTGGTTTAATGGAAATGTGAGGACACTTCCAAAAATAAGATCTCGCAGTGATACAGTGAGTGCTGGGGCTGTTGCTAAGACTGAAGCTTGTTTGCTGCCACAGTGTGTTGCCTTTTGGGAAAGATATGAGAGAATGTACAAGTGGTGTCTCCCAAAACTGTGGCCAGCTTCTGCCCCTGTCCAGGAAGCCACAGATGCTTCTCCCCAGCCAGCATCCTCCCTCCTTGTTCCCGCTCCATCATTCTGAGTTGTATATCCTTTTTTTTAGGAATCTCGCTCCCTCTAGTGGTCCCTCTCCGGGAGGAGAAATACGGACTTTGAGGTGTTCGTAGAAGTGATAAGTACAGCAAAGCTCACACCTTGTGATGTTCTGTTCAGGATTTAGGTGCTTTTGAAGCCCCAGTGAGAGAACAGCGGCATCCTCATACCCCAAAAGCAGTGCAGTTCTGGGGCTGTGTCGGAGCACAGCCACAGAAAATCTCCTTCAGCCATCCAGGAGAAAATGGGCTCTGAGAGAGCCCCTTTAGGACCTTTCCCGGGGAACTCTGGGCATGGGGCCTGGAAGAGCCAGTTCCCCTACAAAGAGAGGCCAGAGGAGGAATGCTGATGTGAGTGCTTGTCCTCTGTTCAGAGGCACCTCCAGAGCTACACCCCCCCACCAACTGGAAGCCCTGGAAAATTGCTTTACAGTTTAAAAACTTAGTGCCATCTTTATTCCTTATGATGGCAGCACTGTGATGTCAGGCCATTCAGGGGAAGTCTTTGCATGCTAGGATATTTTGGGAGGTAATGATAATCTCCAGTACACTCCTGCTGCACACTAAAGAGAGCACAAGATGTTTCCAGGAGCTGGAATGCCCCAGCAGCCACTTGCCCCACTGGTGTGAAGCAAGCTGTGCCACTCCACGGCACAGCAGTGCAGGGGGAGCAGCACAGCCCCTCCAGCCCCTCCAGCAGCTGCTCTGGAAGGAGAGATCCATCAACCAGTTGAGAGCTTTCGCTGCCAGACAACCTACCCGAGGTTGCTGCAGCAGCCAGTGGTCATGGGAGAGCAGGCAAGTGCTTTTGAAGAAGTCAGCACTTGCTTTAAACCTTTCAGAGAAAAAGGGAGGGAAAGCTGGACTGGAAAGATTTAGAAGTTCATGAAGAAATAAACGTTCTCTGAGCTGTTTGCTTCCCCTCTGTGACCCTGACTCGTCTCTCCTGGGGAATAGAGGTTCCTGTGCAAGGCAGGCAACATGTTCCTGAGCAGGAAACAGGAGGAGTTCAGGGCAGGCTGAATCTGCTTTGGGTTATCTGGAAATCACGACAGAACTAGTGATTTCAAGGACTAAAGCCAAACTCCCAGATTCAACCCTTTCCTTCAGAAGGAAAGCTGAACGGGCCCCAGCTATTCAGAATGGGACTGTCCCATGTCAAGATACTGACCTGTCCAAAGAGATGGGACACGAGGCAGTGATTGTCCATCTGAACAGAGCGATGAGGACAGAAGGAGGTGGGAGGAGAAGGGCATGGGGAGACAGCAGGCAGCTGAGAGACACAGGAATCACCAAAATGCAAACACACCGCTGTGACTCTGAGGTGACTCACTGCAGCCAGGGCTGAGCTCTAAGGGAAGACAGTTCTCCCTTCTCTTTGCTCCTTTAAATCTGACTTCACCTGCGCAGGACACTGTCTGAGAGGTGAGTCCCACTGGCATAACATGGCCCAGCCCTCTCTTCCTCGGAGGGGCAATCAATAATTAATTAGCCAGCAAAAGTGCCTGCACTTCTGCCTCTGCCTGGCTGAAGCCCTGTCCTGCTCTACCAAGCCCGACCAGAGCAGGGGAAGCTCATCTGTGCTGCCAGACCCCAGCTGGGCTTGAGGGGCTCCTTTGCAGCAAACCAACAGTCCCCACTCCCTCCACAAAGGGAAACAAAGCACTGTGGCACCTCGCCCCCTGCCAGAATGCCCCTCAAAGCCCCGAGCCGGCAGAACTACCTGCAGCCCAGCATGCCCAGCCAGCGGGGAGCCCCTACCTGCTTGCGGGAGCCCAGGGCCCCCCTGCTGCCCCGGCAGGAGAGCTTGAGGGAGCTGCCCTGGTGCACGGAGCCCAGGAAGGAGCGCTGAGGGGTGCCGGGCAGGGGGCTCACGAAGAGGATGCGGGCAATGAGGCCGTAGAGGACAGTTGCCAGCCCCAGCGGGATGACATAGAAGACAGCAAAATCCAAGAAGTAAATGGGCATGTAAAGGCTTCTGGAGACTCGGTAGCCACAGGTGACCTGCGCCCCGTCCGAGAAGGTGACCTGGGTGGTGTCCACCAGGAAGAACCACATGAGGCAATAGAGGGAGGTGAAGAGCCACAGCGAGGCGATGATGCGCCTGGCGCGGGACACGGTGCACAGGAGCTGTGCCTTGATGGCGTGGCAGATGGCGATGTACCGCTCCACCGTGAAGGCGGCGATGGACCAGGCGGAGATGTTGATGCCCAGGTACTGCAAGTAGGTGATGCAGAGGCAGCCGGCGTAGCCGTACACCCAAGAAGCCACCACTTCGGAGATGTTGGGCAGCCCGGCCGCCAGCAGCACGATGAGGTCGGCCACGGCCAGGCTCACCAGGTAGCAGTTGGTGGGGGTCACCATGTGCTTGGTGCGCAGCACCACCAGCACCACCATGGCGTTGCCCGCGATGCCCACGCCGCAGATGAGCAGCACCAGCAGGATGGTGACCACCTGCAGCTCCAGGGGCTGCCGGGGCATCCTGCCCAGGCTCTGGTTGGCGGCAGAGCCGTTCTCCATCGTGCCTGCAGCCGCCGGCGGAGCCCCGCGCACCCTGCGGCGGCAGCGGGGAGCCGGGGCTGCCCCGACCCCCTCCCCGCCTTCCCGCCCACCCCGGCTCCTCCCTCCCCTTTTTCTCCACGATTCACCCCGGGTCTCGCAGCCTCCCTGCTCCTTGCATCCCTCTCCCCTGCAAACTCTCCGCCTGGAGGGGCAGGGAGCGGCCGGGATCCCCCCAGTCCCCGGGACCCTCCAGGAGCTCTCGGGAGCCAGCCGGGACTGTCCGGAACCCCCAGGCTCCCGGGACCCTCCAGGACTCCCCTCAGCTGCCAGGAAGCACCCTAGGGAAGCACCAGGTCTCCCCCAGGACAGCCCACAGCCCCCCGGAGCTGCCTCGGTCCCCGGGACCCCGCATCGCCTCCGCCGGCATCCCCCGCCTGCGCCCGCCGGGTCCTAACGCAGCGCGGAGCCGGACCGGGGAGGAGGAGGAGGAGGAGGAGGAGGAGGAGGAGGAGGAGGAGGAGGAAAGGAGCCCAGGCAGGGGATGGGGGTGCAGGTGAGAAATCCCAGGGTGGGGAGGCGCAGAGGCTGAGCCTGCCCCAGCAGTGAGTGGGACCCCGGTCCGTGGGTGCCTTTGTCCCCAGCCGAGGCACAGACTTCACTGTTCCCCCAGGGCACGGGGAGCTGAGGGTGAGGAGTCCTTTATTTCTCATCCTCAGGAGGATGGGAGCACAGCGATGCCAGTGAGATCCACAGCTTTTCCCGTTTGCCCTGGGCTGGGGCAGAGGAATGGTACCCCTGAGCATGGGGCAGTGACCTCCTCGTTCTGTCTTTCCTGTAGCCATCCCTATCCCAAACAAGCACAGTGTCACTCCTGAGGGAGAAGCCTTAGCTGGGAGATTCCAAATCTTTCCAGCAATGAGGCTGGGGTATCTGGTATCTCCCTGGTGGTCAGGCTGGGAGATCCAGTGTCTCCCTGATGGTCAGCAGGAGCCGCAATTTGCTGCCAGCTCCATGCTTGCTCCTAACATCTCTGTCAGAAAATGCATTTTCAAATTGAAAGAGCAATTGTGCTAAGGGGCCTCTAACCTGTGGAGTGGAGGAAAGGACAAGAGGAGACTTCTCTTTTTGATTAGATTAGATTTCAATTAAAGGCAGAGATGTCCTTTTAATCCCAGACACTGAGCTGCATATCCAAAGTGTGAAGGATCATTCTGATGCTGAGTGATTCAATTCCAGCATTTCACAGGCAAATTTTTAAACCTGGGCTGCAAAAACCTGGGTGGATAAAATGCCTTTGGCCTCAGCCCAAAGAGCAGCACTCTGTCCCCAAACTTTCAGTTGCTGTGGCAAATAGTATTTTCCCCCTTTGCTCTGGGAAATGCCGGGTTGTTATTTGGCAGACAACAATCCATATAGTTTTTCACTACTTCCCATGATATTTCATTCACCTTTGGGTCAGTTTTAAAGGACAAGTATTCTCTTCTTCTCTTTCCATTTGGTTTCCTTAGGGCTCCACTGGCAGCCTGCACCAGGCCTTCTGTGTCCTGGACAGCCTCACAGCCCTACCCTCTACAGTCCCGGGTTTGGGAGGCATGGCACCTCCTGTCCTTACTGCCCTTCTGTGGGAAGGACTGGGAGTGTGGGCACGTGTGTTTGCTCCCATAATCCAAGGGGTTGTGTATTTCGGTGCTCTGGAGTGACTGTAACCCAAACACAATTCCAGCACTTCATCCCAGTGCTGTCTCACAGTGATGCTGCAAGTCCTCGGGATGTGGACTGTGTCATACAACAGTGTGTGGGAGAGAAGAAGGGACAAATCTGGCACAAATGTCCTGAGAAGGGAGTTGGGGTTCATTTGCTTCCTCAAACCCATTCCTGGAACAGGCTTTGTGGGATCAGGAAACCAAGACAGACTGCTGCAGTAAAAAAAGCAGCAAAAAGCTTTGTTTTGATTCAGACCTGGAACACTGTGCAAGATAATTGCAGATAATCATTTCCCTGGCTGCTTTGCTCTGTGGCACAGACAATCCAGCAGTTATTAGTGCAGATAACAACAGCATTAAAGCACCCCACTGAAGCAGCTCCTCCTGCCTGTTCCTGAGCTGCTCTGTGTCAATCACCAGGCTGGGGCTGGGCTGGGGAGGAATGTGTGTCTGCCTGATATAAAATTGTGATCGCCAAACCAAATTTTATTTTTTATATTTTTTATTTTAAAGAAAGCAAGCAAGCAGCACTGGGTTGCCGGGTTGTCACTGCTCCACTAACAACACACACCACTATAAGTTCACCAGAGTATATATACTGGTTTAAGCCTACAAAGCATTTTCCAATGTGTTTGTGTTAGTCTGAATCAGCAAATATCAATAAGCTGGGACCAGCAATTTCATAATCTTTCCAGATGGTTGTAGGCTCCCTGTCCTGCTCATGGTCATCTGGAGGGAGGTCCTTCACCAGTGTCTGCTAAATAATTTTAGTCTGGTACAATTGCATCAAGCTTTTTATTATACATAAGCATTTAGTCACTTTGTTGCAATATCCCTTAGCTTTACCACAGCTTCCTCTATTTTATTCTAAGCATCAGTCATTTTTGCCACCCCATCTCTTGACTCTACTATACTTCCTCTGTTTTCTTTCTTGATGCTTTTTTTTGTTATTTCTTGAAACAGAAAGTTTCAAAACCATTCTTTGTAGTTATCCCAGGGAATGAATCTACTTTCAGTGCAGCAGATATAAGCATTTGCTGATTCCATTGCCAATTGACATGAAGCACAAAAAACATTTTCCACAATCCCTCCCCTTTTTCTTTATATTATTGATTAGTGTCTTTGCTTTAAATCAAGCTAATACTTTTTGGGTTGCAGTTATATTTGGTTCTGCTTTGGCCTTGACTATCATAAGGGAGTGAGTTTTTTTTTCCCCATGGTTGTTATTTTAGGGTTTATGGGCATTGCTGAAATCTGCATTCCCTGGATTACTGAATGTATTAGCTTAATAAAGCATGGAATCATACATGGTATAAACAACAGGCCTAATGCAGAACAAAGCAACATGAACCCCAACTTCTTCACCAGGCTCATTCAAACAAATTATTCCACCAATGGTCAGTTAACATGGAATTCCATTTCTGCACTGGTAGGCAAAAGAGGCAGAGGGATAATAAAACTGTGGGGCCTTATGGTACTGTTGAGTCTTCCATGGAAGGGGATAACTGATCCGTGCTTAAAGTGCTACCAAAATGTGAAGCATGGCCAGACCATGGCCTGAGCCTTTGCAGCACACACTCATATTAATGCAAGATGTTATGAGCCAGGAAAACCTGAAACCTGTACAATAGGAGAGAAGAGTTACTGTGTGGCAACAAATTTAGGAATGGGAGGATGGGCCCCTCAAAATTATCAGTTTTGTCCCTGGGGAGAACCAGTCCTCTGTTTTACCAAAGGTGGAATGTGGGGATACTCAGATAAAGGGGGAGTACAAGATAAATTCAAGGAAGAATTAGTGAAAGACATCACAAAGAATTTAGGGGACACCTCTGTTTGTCCTCGTCAAACATTTTTTTGTCTTTTTGTCGTTGCTTACAGCTTCACTTTGTGTATCCTCTTCTCCCATAGCAATGACAATCTGCAGGATCATCTCTGGGGTTTCTAACTTGGGGAGGTTTCTTATAATCTCCCCTAGGTCTTTGTCCTCCTGTTCTAAACACTTTCTTTTCCCCCTTCTGAGTTTCCCTTATAGCTGCTACAAATATCTTGGCTGTTGTCAAAGTTGTGAGGTTGTCAAAATTGTGAGGTTTGCTGTGATGACTGGTTAATATTCCCTTTACAGACTCCTTCAGTAACTGTGATGTTCAGGATGTGACTGAGGCATGTGTTTAAGAGGCTACCCAGCTTGACACTTACAAAAATATTTTCTTCCATCTTGACTTCAATATAAATGTTTTGATGGCCAAAGACATTGATTTTTTCATTTAAAAGTCCATGTTTTGTTGTTTTAGCACACATCAGCATTTCTTTCTCTGCTGACATCACCTGGCACCACCATCCTTTATGAATACCTGCCACCACCCACTCTCTGAAACATCAGCAGAGAGAAATCTTCATTTTCTTGACATCCCCAAATGGGAATGGCCACCTCCCTGGGTGCTGGCAGGGAAAGGGGTTTTTGGAAAGGGGCGTCTGTGCAGCTCCATGGTCAGGTTAGTACAGGCTGGGTACTCAGGCAGTGGCTGATGTCCATGACATCTTCTTGCAGCTCATCCCTCTCACACAGCCTCACTGGGCAGCTCCCTTAGTCCTGTGAACAGAAAAGAACTCTGAGGCTTCATATATTAAAAAAACAAAGCTAAAAGAAAGTGATCCTCCTACCTAAATCTGTGAAAAACTTCTTTCCATTCCCTTGGGCTTCATTGCTACAAATATTAAACCCATAAAACTTCTGCTGCTAGAGCTGGGGCACAGAGGTGGCAGTGTCATGTGGTGCCAGTGAATGTGGAGAAGTGTAATTACAAAAACCACAAGTGGTTCTGAGACACTGGTCACAGGGCCCTAGGCAATGGCCAGATTTTGAGTTGTGAGTGATGGTGGGGAAGTGATTCCCACTTCTGCACTCCTGCAGCTCAGCAGGGACCAGGCAGGAGGGTGCTGGTGGCTCTGCTGAGCAGCCTGAGGGCTGACAAGTGCCAGTAGGGATGGGGAATGAGCCAGTCTGACATAGCAGCAGTTATTGTTCGATCAGAAAGACCAAGGAGAGAGTTCTGTCAAAATCACCTTCATGTATTTTGGAGTCACAGCCAATAAATAAATTGCTTTGGGGCTTTCTGGGTTATTGCCCTCAGAGATCAAGCAAAAAAGGCAGCTGTCAAGGAATTAAACAAATGAAAAATATGAAAAAAAAAAAAAAAAAACAAACCAAAAAACCTGGTGGTTTTCTACTGATTTCTGTGAACAACCCCAGAGGAAGCATCTCACGGACCTGGGCTGCATCACATCTGTGCCAGAAATGTGAAAGGGAGCAGCACTATGGAAAATGTTGAAGACTGAAGGAATGGAAAACAATTAAGATGAAGGCAGTGATGGGGATTTCTGTGGGTGAAACTGTTCCAGGCTGGAAAATGAGGCTATCTTCAGGCAGCGTTTCCTGTGGGGCAGCCACAGGACAGACCTGGTGGTGCCAGGCCTGAGGAGCTCCAAACTCTCATTGTCACATCGAGCCTGGGGTAGTGCTGTCCCAGGGAAAGGATGCTTCCCCATGCTCATATGAGGACAAGGATTTGTTAATTCCAGGTTCAGGGAGCACAGGCAGCAATTTGGGTCATCTCAGGATCCTCCTTTCCCTGTCTCACTGCCAGAGTTTCCTCCTGGCTTCTGGGTACCTTCCTCTCTTATTTGAAAAATCCCTTTTAAAGATCTGTTGCTATTAAATGCACCGTGTTTTTCAAATGCCTTCAGGACACAAAGAAACTGGTGATTTTTCTTCAGCTAATAACTGTAATTTTAGCTTTTGAAGAAAGTCAAGTGAGGCCACTTTCACAAACAGGAAAATTATCCCTTTGCCCTTCTCCTGCTTCCTTGCTGTGTTCACAGCCTGAGACCTCAAGGAAAAAGCCTCTCACGGCCCCAAAATTATCAAACTGATGAAAACAGATATTGCAAATGAGGGGCTTGGCCAGGGCCAGCCATTCACAAGCCTCTCATTTCCGAATATAGTTTATTTGTGAAGTGTCCCCACTAATATTTTAATAAGTGCATCCTTCAAACTCTGCTCCAGGTAGGTCCTGGAAGGGCTGAGCAGCCTGAATAGTAAAAAAAAACCAAACCAAAAACCCAAAAACAAAATAAAAACAAACAAACAAACAAACAAACCCAAAAAAACCCCAAAAACCCAAAAAACCCAAAAAAACCCAACTCGGAAGCAACATGCATTGGACTGATTTGATAAATCAGATAATACCAAAATGGAAAAGGATGCTCTGTGCAGGTTTGAGTGAGGCCAAGTGTGCATGGGACACAGTGTATTTTACAAAGCTTGTGAAAACAAACATTGTCATCCCAGGGGATTCCCCAGGCTGTGTGGCCAGCAGTGCTGCTCTGGGCTGGCTGTGGGAGCCTGGAAGTGCCATGGGAGAAGGGCCCAACGTGTTCCTTTCCCTCCCACTGAGCCCAACATCTATGGATGGCATCACCTGCACACCCCATGGCCCCTGCAGCACTTGGGCATCAGCTGCAGCATCAGTCAGGGTTCACAACTCTTGCTGTCACCAATAAACTCTGATACCTGCCCCAGTGTGCTCAGTCCTCCAGGAAATCTGCCTGAAGAGAGAAGCAGGTGGAAGCATTGGCTTTCAGGGCAGCACAAAGAAATGGAAGCGCTGGGAGCTCCACTCTTTCTGGAGTCTTGATATCTGTAAGAGGAAACTGTGGTTTGGGCAGCCAAAGCTGAGCCTCTGCCAGAACCAGCAAGGCTTGGAAGTGTGCTGTGAATAATGACACCTCTTCTGATGTGCTTTTGGGGCACTGTCTGTGACACATTCCACCTCAACCACCCATCCCAGTACTCATCCTGAGGACAGCATGCAGGGGAGTCAGGACAGAGACTGGCAGCTCCCAGAACAGCAATCTGGGGGGATGAATGCTGGAGGGGCATCCTGGGGGGATAATAGCCACAATAATGCTGAGGGGAGATAAAAGCTCTTCATGCAATATTATGAAGGAATGAAAACTCTGGCAGAACAATTAGACTGTAATTATGGGTTATTTAATATTCTGTGACATCTAAATGTCAACACCATAACTCTGTAACAACAAGCACTTGGTACAGCACACTCTGCACACCTGAGCACAGCCCTGGGAGTGCACAGCAGCCTCCAGCTCTGCTCCTGCTCCCCATCCATGCAGGCAGAGCCATGACATGCAGCAGGGAGGAAACACGAGCCCACTCTCACTTGGTGTCCAAGTCTGGGCTTATGCCATGGCTGGATGTCACACCAAGCAGGTGTGACAAAATGGAGGGGACAAAATGCTCCAAGTCCTTGGTTGGCACTGGTGCAAACAGCCAGGAAACACTGGAAATGGTGTCTGTGAAGTTCTTCATCGCTGAGCTCCATCCCTGCATCCTACACAGCTGACTAGGGCATGAAAGGATAGAAAAAAGCCTGACTAAAGCTGACCTCTCTGGTCCTGCTGCTGCAGATCTTCCCCCCAAAATGTCTCTGTTCCATCAGCCTCCACCCCTCAGAGCTGCTCTGGTTAGTCTGAAAGAAAAGATGGTGAAATTGCAGCAGCTCTTACTGCTCAGGGGCCTCCACCCAATTTGTGGTTTTTAGTCTTTTCTGTGTGCATTGCTCATTGCGGTGTCCAAGCAGAGGCAAATCTCTCCCTGCTCTTAGAGGAATTTATTCTAATGCCAGAGAAATCTCCTTCCTCCCATCAGCCCCAACAAGAGCACCATACTCACGTCCTGCAGAGCCCAGGGCAACACGTGCATCACCAGCTGCTCCTGGGAGAGCAAAACTCACATGGTTTTAGGCATCTGTTTTTAGGAAAGGTCTAGATGGGACCAAAGTTCCTCCCTCACTCCCTGTGGTTGTGAACCTGGCATTGCTGATGCCCTGGCAGTGCAGAGCACAAAGCATTGAGCACATGGAGCAATTTCTTCCCTCTCCTGGTAAAAGGAAAAGCTGATTCATCCCATCCCAGCCACAACCTTGGCTTGACCTGCTCCCTACTATAATTCACAGAGTTCCCACTTTATTGTCTGAACAGCCTAATCCCTGATGCAAAAGAAGAAGCTTTCAGCCTTTCAACTTGGCTGCTTCAGTTTTTCAATCTACTTCAAAGGAAAACCTCTCATCCAAGTTATGGATCACCCTGACTAGTCAGACCCCTGGCCTTTTCATTTTAATTCTCTTGGGAAATAAATTCACAGAATTGGCCTCTCTCCCTTCTCACATATGACAGCATCTCCCCAGCTTTCCAGGTGGGATGAGGAATTACAAAATGTTCAACTGGAATAGCATCTAGGTAAAAAACATGTGAAATCCTGGTTCATGTTTAGTTTGTGTGTTGAAAACATGTCTTCTGGCAATTTAGTCTTTGCTCATCAGCAAAGAAATAGAGAACTGCCTCTGCCTCAGTCCTTGGGAAGGGCTTGGGATGGAGGTGAGCTGACTCCATTTCCTCAGCTTCTCATCGTGCCAATGTTATCCTGTGAACCCCTGAGGTCTTTTTCTGAAGTCACACATCTCAGGGCTTCTCTGAGTACCTGAACACTGAGAATCAGTGATGTGCTCAGAGTTCAGGAAATCAGGGGGCTGAGAAACATGCCTGGAGGATTATTAGTTTCTGTACCCACATTCCAGCTTTTAGCAGCCTTCTGGGATAACCAGTGTTGCTTCCACCTAATTTCCACCAGTTGTGTTGCAGGCTGAAAGCCAATTACTAACAATTTGGAAATTTTCTATTGCAAAATGTGAGGCACTGAGTTCAGAGTAAAACCCTGACACAGTCTACAACTGAAAGAGACAGAATTTGAGAAACTCTCACTATGAATCATATGCACAATGCTATTAAGTAGGTTTTTGCATTTATTAATGTCCAGTAATATTTCCTTTTCTAAAATTTGTGCATGGAACTGTCTCTTCTCCGTTGCAATTACAGTGCAAATACTCTAGATAGGATAAATGAAATAAAAGTGGAGTTTGCTTAAAAATCAGAAAATGCTTCTGGAGAAAGGTTTTTGTTTGCTTGCCTGTCTGCTCTGGTAGATGCAGATTTGTGGCTGTGAATGAGATCTTTCCTAGAGACTGTCTGAGCTGGATTATTTACACTTGCACTTCAGCATATTAAGGCCATTCATTCTTGCCTTCCAGCCAGCCATTAGCAGGAACTTAGTGTATATTTTACCTAATATACCTGAGGCAGAGGAAATTGAGTCAGTTCACCTCCATCCCTTCACTAAAATACACCACAAAATTCCAAGGGAATCAGGGGCTTCAGGGTAGAACTTGTCCTATGTGTGAGTGTCTTTCTGTCCCTGGGTTTGCACTGGTGGAGGAAAAAGCAATCCATGGGCTTTTCTCTCTTGAGATTAAAATTTTTCTCTAGATAATTAAGAAGCCTCAAATCTCAGTAAGCACAAAGAAGAAACCAGGCAAGCAAAACTGTGTGTCCTGCCAGGCTGACAGCTCCTGGTGTGGTGGTAACTGGGGAAGAATGGCACAGATCCAGGGCCACATCTCCTGGTGGCAGCTGCAGCAGATGTGAGTGAGTGACAATTCCCTGGCAGCAGCAAAGCTGGGGGCTGGCACTGACACCACTGAGCCACAGCCAGGGAGTTTGGAGCCCATCACCAAAGGTTCCCCAGCCCCCTTGGGACACCCCAGCCCTGCCTCTGCCTCGTGGCACACCAACCTCTGACCCCGAACTTTC